ATTGTGGCCTTTGATATTGACTCGAACTGAAAAAGCATTTTATTCCATAAACTACCGAGATCAATCCGAAGTTTAGCGAAATTACAGCCTACTTCATTCAACGACTAGTTCTAGGTTTTTAAAAGATTCAATGACTGGCTAAATGTAGGTTCTTTATCTTTTTAAAATGCTTGTGCCATAGATTCAATATTTAGTTCGTGTTTAAAAGTTTGTGTACAAGATTAAAATTTGGATCCGCAAATGAACTCTCAATCGCATCATCTCGGGTCTTTCTGTCAAATGTCGGAAAGCTAGTCGTAAAGGCTCGAGAAGTTGCGATTGGTGAAGCGGAGTCAGCCGAAGATTGCCGATTGAAACTCTCTAGAATTCTCGCGCATGCGTAGGCTGGCCTATGCCCAGGGCATCCTGTTTAGCCTCGCTTATATATTTACTGCGTTATGAGAGTTATTATCTGCATCAAAAACTTTTCTCCTTGCACTTTCCTGTGACCATGACCTCACTTTTCGTAAAATTCTATGCTGCACACTTTCAAAGACAGCACTTTGATATATGTTTAAATAAGCTTATACAAAATGTGGTGAGAATTTATCATCCATATCCAATATCTCAGTCAATTTCAAGATAAAAAAATCTTTGCAAGTATAAAATAAGAGGAAATTGGCATTAAATGAAAGATTAAATGAACTTTTTAAAGTGCGTGAAAATGCGTGATTGCGGGGAAAAAGTAATTGCGTGATTTTGCGTTAGGAATAGGAAATGATATGTGCGTTAAAATGCGTGACTGTGGGGAACGGGGTTAATGTGAACATTCCAAACTCTCTTAAATTAGAACTTCCTGCTGGGAGGACTAAGAAGCCATACTTACAGGTGACTTTGATAATACAATGTAATGTTGATCTCGTTAAAGACACCCCTATCTACCCTGGACATCTACACTAGAAGAATTTGAACCAACTCCACTAATTACTAGTTAATTTTCAAGAATTACTAACACCCGGTGCTCCCTTTTAATCAGTTCTACACCAACCAACTTTACAGCATTTGGGAAATCAAAGTACCACTCATATATAGCTGTGTCTGATCATCATCCTGTTTTCGCTACAAGCAGATATAACAGCATGCAACGTAAGGAAACACACACTAAAATTCACCGAGACTGTAGGAATTTTAATCTCTTAACTTCCGTACCGGTCAAGTTGTTATAACTTGTTTTAAAACCATTTGATAGTATTTAATCAATTAAATATGCTCAAAACAATTCTTACTGAACAAAAAATGGTTTGAATTATGAAATAGGATATCTTTTAGAGAATATCTTGCTTTAACATATTTTTCAAACAAAACAGTTTCATTTAAGCATATTAATGAAGAAATAGAAAAATACGTTTCATAAGTTTATTTTTAATTTGTAAATGGTAAACGATTTGTATTTCTTTTTTTAAATTTTCTATATTGTGCATTTTTTCAAATTTATTTTTTTTTTAAATTAATTAAAAGTTTTAAGAGCCAATTAAATATACTAGTACTTTGTATCACAAATATTTAAAAAATACATGTGAATGAAAGGTACGGTATTTTAAATGTATTTGAAGTCTTGAAGTTGTACTGTAATCAATTGTTTAATCTTAAATGCAAATAATTCTAATAATTAAATAATTTATTACAATGAAATATCACATTAATGGAAAAGCATGAATAAGATGACTGATAAATTGATATGTAAAAGTGTTATTTTTAAATAAACATTTAAGAAATAAATAATTGATTTAAATAAAATAATTTAGGAAAAAAATGCCATTATTTTAATCAAGATTAAAAAACAAAAAGCAAATATATAATTTCAAATATTAATTTCAGTTACCATTCATTGCAATATCTGCATTTAATAAGTAAATTTTTACCTATTTCTTGTGGTTAATCTTAAGGTAGGATTCTTCTCTGGTTTATGACAAGTTGAAACATTCAAAGTATTTTTGCATGTATGTCTTATATATTGAAGTGTAAGGAATTTAAAAGACCATATTTTTCTTTCCTCATCAGAAATATACAACTTTATATAGAAATAGTAAACTGCATTTGAAAACTAGCAGGGACTATATTTTTGGCAGAATGGTAGCGTATGAAAATATCCTCTTTTCTGCCTCTCAGAAATTATAGTAGAATCATGAATTTAGTTATAATTTTTACACAATCGAAGACTTGAGAAATTTTCAAATGTAAGTTAAATTAATAGTGAGGGACTAAACTTTCAAAATATATCAAATAAATATTATTTTTCAAACAAACTAGAACTTTGTGAGCTTTTAAATGCTTCCGATCAAGGTGCAGATTTGAGCCAAAAATCCATAAAAAGTATTTTTTCTCTCTTAGTAAACGATCAAAACTTTTTGTTTTTGTATCATTTTGTACATTTATAAGACTAATTTATTATAATGTGAAAATAAGAAAAAGTAAAAATATAAGAAGCATATGAAAATAACTAATATATCCTAAAAAATTAAGAAAAACAGAGAAAATTCGGACTAGCCAATATCCAGTTAACTAAAATTATTGATGTAGATTTGGTAATATAATGCTATAGACCCTATATAGTATGTTTTTATGCAAAAAGAACAATCATTAAACTTTTGAAATAGAATTAGGTACAACATGATTGGCAACAGTATATTTTTTTTCTTAATGTCAAGGAAAAAGATAATGACATTGACCAGACCTTGCCTCTAATATAAAACGGTCAAATTTAATTTCACTGATACTATCACTTACTGATATTGTCTTCTTGATTCTGTGAAAATGTCATTAATTTTTAAATATTAGAAATATGAGAAGAATCCTACCTTCAACAGACTGTAGGTCACCTGTAATAAATTTCTTTTGTTCTTTACCTCCCCCTACCTGTACAACATTCCCACCTAGCCAAAACCAGTCACCTTTAACATTTTGAGAATTTTGGCTAAGTGGGAAGACACCAATGAAACCCATCTTGTTTGTATGAATTTACAATGCCATGAACAATGGGTTTCAATGCATATAAAATTGCAAATGGATTTATACATTCAAGTTGGTAGAATAGATCCTCGCTTGGTTGTGCCAGCATTTGCTTTTTGGAGTTTAATATCTACAATACATGACCAACGTTATGGCTTTTATTTTTTAACGTGATTGATTTTTTACAACTTGACTACAGATCGACAATAGCTAGGCATCCCCTTGCTATCTGAATCTATTTTGATATCAAGGACAGATAATAAAAACAAACTTTTGTCGAAGAATTTGAAAATAACAATTTGGGTCATGTTTAAATGAATAAAATGAATTACTTTCACCGCATAGTTTTTAATTTTTCATTCAAATTTGGACAAAAATGGTATTTAAAGTGAAAAATATTTGTAAAGATTAAAAAAGATGGTTTTAGAAGGGTAGTCTTTTGGACATCACACAAGGTTTACAATTTTTATATAATTCTAGAAATTTATTGTTTGCATCATTTGCAATGAAATTAGACCAAAAAATATATACCAATCCAGGCATCCATTTTTTATTGGTATCATCTGTCCTTTAAAACAAGTAATTTGGATACATATTATTTCTCAGTATCCATTTGATACATTTCCCATATCTATATCAGTCTTTTCAGGTACAATTCTTTATAGAATTTTGGAAAAGAACCCCCCTCCCTCTTTGAAGTCACTCTCAAGGCCTTATTTGTTTGGATACTCCATGACTGTTAAATTTACGATAAAATCTCATAAAACTTCCAGAATGAGGTAAAAATTCCATATTTAATGCAGAGTATCCCAAATACATATAATATATGAATTAACGGGATTTTTGGATGTCAAATATTTATTTCAAAAGTGTTTTGACCTTAAAGAGTTGCATTCACATATATTCTATATATCTCATTTTTAAATGTAGATATGATATTGAAATATAGAAAATATTATGTTTGTACTTGAAAATAGATATCAAATGGAAACATATACTGTATACAGGGTTATTTTCGCCTGTTCACACTTGCAACCAATTTTGCGCTGTTTTAAATTCGCCCAATCACAGTTTCGGTTAAGAACATACGCTGTATATTTTGAATTCGTCCCTTTTTAAATTCGCCCAAACGATGTAAGGGCGAAAGGGGCGAAAATAAAACGGGGGCGAATATTTCTCTGTTTACAGTAATGATTGGATTTAGCTCTAAGCGCAACTGAAAAGAATGTATCACTCAAAGCACTCATCTTATATATTGCTTAATATGGGATTTACAAATATAAGATGCACTGTCGACTACATTCCAGATATAACAACCAAGCTTTATCATAAACGTGATGACTTTAACTTTTCTGTCATTAACTTCCCTAAATTATGCAGCAATATACCATCATCACCTTCAACTGCCGTTTATATCTCTGTTCATTCGATACACAAGAGCATGCTCTTAGTATGAACAATTTTTAAAACGAGCTAAATTATTGACTAAAGTTGAAGAAACCAGAATATTAGAAGTCGCTTAAAGTCATCATTTTGTAAGCTCTTTGGTTGATACAATGACATTGTCAGCAAATACATTTTATTATTGAGTAAAATGCTGACTGATTTTTTTCATACAAATTGTTAGTCCATTATTTGTACACTGAATTGACGACGGTTTTTTCGCTATTTCCCGATCATGACAAGGAGCACACAACGGGTGTGACAGGTTAGCAGGGGATGCTCAATCCTCCATGGTACCTGACCTCACCTCTGATATTTTGGAGGTCCGTGTTTGCTCTGCTCCTATTTTGTATTGTTTGATGGACTTAGATATTGAATACTGGTCGTATTTCTCATATCCTTCACTATAACATTTTTAATAATGTTAAATCTTTACCTTTTTCTATGCCTCCATTCTGAAAAATTTGAACTCTCTTGTACATTAAAGGCTTTTTTGAAAATGTTGCATCAAATATTTCTGAATACATTTATTCAATTGTTCTACATGGTCTTAAGGTAATATTTTTGTATTTAGAAATAAAAATGAAATATATATACATAAAAAATAAAATAGCGTAGAACTTAGTTGAAAAGTTCAATTGTTCAAATATTATGTAATTTTTGACGCTACATGAAAATGACAGTTTTCTTAATATTCGGAGTTTAACAAGATTTTTCACATATAAAGTAAAACTTCAAAGCGCAGTTAGCGTCATTCCATAACCTGATTCTTCTTGGAAATCTTGAGATTTCCATGCAGTCTTCAATGCCTTCTTGATCATTAGGTTCCAACCTGTCCCAGTCCTTGAACGTCAATGAACTCCCGGTAGAGGCCCAGACAAACTTTCCTTCTATAATTTTATCTGTTCCACCGATCCAAAATTTCTCTATCAGGGATTGAAGATTAAATATTACATTATGTTTGAAAATAAAGAAATAATATAATTCCTACAGAAGATATGTACATTTATTGACATACTATATTTACTGTAGTCGCTGGAGTTTTGTTTCAGAAGATATTCATCATAAATGCTGAGTCTTTGTTTCAGAAAATCGTTTTCGTCCTTTGTTTCTATCTCGACGAGTTTTGCACCATAGTATTGACACTCCATCTACAATTTTCATGTAGTAAATAAACGATCACGAAATATAATAAAAATGATCTAAAACAGCAAACAATAAAAATCTGTCATGAGGGTATAAGACACGGACCCCAGAAAATCCAAGAGATGGCATCCGGTGGACATGAGAGATAAGCTTCCCCTGTCAATCGGTCACCCCACCATGACCCTTATGTGTTGACGAGGTATAAGAATAATAAGTCAAATCATGATGTGAAGAAATTTGATATAGTAATTAGAAAGATCAGTTATTTTTTTTATCTCACAATAAAATTGGAAATATGAGATATAAAGAAAAATAATAATTATTCACATGAACCAAATTGCTCATCAGTTTCAGTATTTAAGAGCACATAATAAGTCAAATCATGATGTGAAGAAATTTGATATAGTAAATAGAAAGATCAGTTATTTTTTTTTTTTATCTCACAATAAAATTAAAAATATAAGATATAAAAAAAAATAATTACTCTCATACCTATCTAATTCCCATTAGAAACATACTGAAGTTGCTTTTTAAATCAGAATATCAGAATGCCTTCTGTGCTTGTAAAATTATTATGCATCAATAAACAAGAGTTATTTCTCCATTATCGCTTTTTGAAAATATTTTCTATGAAACAAAATATCAATTACATGTATATAAACAATTCTGTATCGGAAATATTTAAATGAATTATACGTTAAGAGATAGAAATATCTAAATTTACACCGTTTAAAGATACTAAGTATAAATGTTTAAAGTAAACTATTATGCATAGTTCATAAAATATTGGTTATAGAAACTAAAAATCAAAATCTGTACTATAGGACAGATTCCATTGAGTTGGACTATAAAGTGGTCCTGATAAATGAAATCTGTATAATCTGACAGGACAATTCATTGATCTTCGTGGAAAATGTCTTCGGAGAGTTACCTCTCTTATCAAATTTCTCTTCAGAAAGTTATCTCTCTTATCAGAGAAATATTTCACCTTAACGTTATAATTTGCATAGAACATAGTAGTGAAAATAATACTAAATAATAGTATATATTTGTTTAAAAGTTAAATGTAGTCATCATGACTATAGAAAAATTGAATTACTGACAACCGATTTCAAATAGTCTTGACATTTAATCACTAATAATTAAAAGAGAAGATGCTTACAGCTGCATTGTCCCACGACTTCTCCTGTTCTCTGATATAGTAGCAAGAAGATCTAAATGGTGTCCAATTGAATGGACACGACTTTGTGCACATATCTATATGTTAGAGAAAAAAAAGATAAGATGTGTCTTGATACAATCTACAAGGGCTGTTCAGAAATTATTAAGATATTGTGTATATTATTCTTTCTTATGAACGTCTATCGGTGAAAATTTGCATATACGTTTAAAAAAATAAAATGAATAAAAAGTAAGATATGTTTTACAAATATTTAAATTCTTCATTTCATTGGTACATGTGTAGGGATGCGCCAATGGTAGATGTACCTAGCTCAGTCAAGAAATTTGATACTGAAAATATTTAACAATGACGTTCAAACTCCCGGTGATTCCATAGTAAAATGTTTCAATTCGTGTTTACAATATTTAATTTAACTGTGACTTCCTTTGTTCAAATTTGTAAAACTTTCGATCAGAAACAAAATGAAACGCAGCATAGAAAAGTTTTAATGTAATAACGAAGACAATTTTGACTTCAAGGCTTCACTGAGAGCATATCCACAATTCTACTATTTTATTCTTCTAAAGATGTTTTTGGAGAATTTGATTTCCCTAATTCATTAAAAATCAATTGAAATTCTTACTTACAATTACTGTCCTTCCTGATGATATATTAAATCAATAATTATATGTATTTTTTCTTAGACAATACTAAACATTTGTACTTTACCTTTGCTGCTGGACATTTCTCTTTTTAATATCTTTTTGATTTGTGTTTCTATGTTTGATTGAATGGCCTCCATCGTGAATAATTCACTGGGACAATTATCCATTGCACTCGAATATAAAGTCTGCGACTTTGTAGAATACAGCGTTACAAGGAGACTGAAGAGTAAAGAGAGCATTTTGATATACATGCGAATAATATAAGATAAAGAGCCGATTGCAATTTTTTACGATTATGCTTATTCGCAGTTTAGTTCAGGTTTGATGTGTATTGTAATGAAATATATATATATATAAGTGCAAGTACCACGTGAACCACTTAAATTGTATGATGGAAAGTATTTTTTAATGATTATTATCTATAACAGAAAAATTCTTCCTTTTTTCTATTTAAAAAAATTCTTTATTTTTACCAAAACCCATTTAACATTGGACTCAAACAAACAGATTTTTAGCATTAATTAAAACATTTAGAACACGTTTTAAAAATCATAATCATAAAGTATTAATTATTGGACGTTATCTTGATCAAAAGCGTCTGATGAGTGCTTATAACTAAATAAAAACAAAAATATAACAGATGCTGTCATAGTAAGACAGCAATACCTGCACTAAGGTGTTTGCCAGTCTAGATACACACTCTTTTATATATTTGGGTAACCAAGAAAATAAAAGCCAAAATATTCTAGTATTTACACTGCACATATATTTATCAAATCGAGCATAAATTACTCAGGTGCACATGTGACCTATGACCAGTTTGAAATCACGGAACTAATTCGTCATGTAAATTATGCTTTGATTAAAGGTAGGATGTTAATTTTTGGCCCATTATTTAATCAATTTTTAGATTTATTTTCTAAGCAACAAGTAATATTAGTTTAGTGCTACGCATTTTTTTATTGACGAAAAAAAAAATCAAGTTATGCAAACTTATTCATATTATTTGGATAGGCAAAAACTCTATCGAAAACCCACATTCAATCGATTTTAGCAACCCTCTCCCCACAATACGTCTGTTTTAGGAAACGATAGTTAAGTTATTTAAAACTTTATTTGCATTGATAACAAGAAGAACATGTACAATACATCTATGTGTACAACTTTTAGGATATTTCTACCGTCATGGCTTAAATATTGCCGACTGCAAGGCTTAAAACATCAAAAATCAATCATAAAGACAATTTACTTGCGTCGACCTACTATTACTAGTTTTACAATTATCATTATTCGAATGCTTATCGTGTACACACATATTCATGTATATTAGTGGGAATGAATTCATTCTTTGTCTAACTGGATATTATTTCAGGAAGTTGACAGTAGCTATGATAGTCGATAAGTACAAGTGAAGGTAAATATTCTGTAATGTAAAAGCAGATATATTTGATATTTATATATGTTTAAGTAAGCTTATACAAAATTTGGTGATGATTTATCATCCATATCAAATATTTCAGTCAATTTCAAAATAAAAAAAAAAATTATATAGTCTATTTATAGTCCCTTTATAATCATAACACTACATATTCACCGGATTTTAGACCGTATTCACCGGAGGGTTAATGCGCGTGCAACGGCATTGTGACGTCACAATCAAAACATCGAACAACGTTGTAAACATGCAATGGTTGCAACGGCAGCAGCGAGCTACGTCTCTGAGCAGAAATACAATTATTCAAGCCTATTTCAGGATTATTTTTTAACATCTGGACGTCTTACAGATAGCGAAACTCGGAGAGGAAAACACGGAGGTTACAAACAGTAATCTTGAGTTGTTGTTTTTTTTTATTTTCAACAATGGAAGTTTGCAAATGAAACTGGTGTCGTCATACAGCCTTCAATGTCTTATCTATTCAAATCTCGACTATATAATAAAACAATTATGGACTCTTTTGGTGTTGGATATGGTTTTTTATTCACCAGAAAAATATATTCATATTGACCGAGGCGAAAGAGTCCATAATTGTATAATATATAAAAAAGATATATTCTCACCAAACTTCATATACTTATACAAACTTTTTTGTCACATTACTTATATAATGTATATTCGGTGGGGATTTCATTTCCTATGGACATATTCCCAGTTTAATTATTCAAACTTATAACATTTTATACTGTGTAATTCATACTAAAGCTAAAACGGCAGAACTCCAAATAGATTAAGAAAAATAAGTTTACAATAATGTTTTGATCTTCTTAATATTACAAAAGGACACATCCAGACATCCTTTTTTTGTTACAAATGTCACATTGAAAACCTATAATAAGGGAAATAAGAAAACCTTATTACACACCTATGGGTACAACCAATCATCTTGAAAAAGATGATTAGGCTACATTAAGCACTTGGTGAAATGTAACAGGAATTCTGGAACCAGTATGATATGGTATTTTAAAAATTGTCAAATTCTACCCACATTTGACCACTAGGGAGAAAATAAAAATTCAAAAACCTTAGTGTACATTTACAGGACACTACCCGCCACATCAAAAAAGATGATAAGAATTAAGTCACTGTGTAAAATATAAGATGAATTTCAGGAGAAGGGGCTTTTGCATAAAAAAAGTCATTTTCCTAAACTTTACACTCAGGTTGAAAATAAAAATTCAGAATTTTTTTTGTACATCTACAAGACACACCAACCAATTCAAAAATACGATGAAGCTACTTTGTAAACGGCAAAAGGATTTCAGAGAAGATAAAAATAAAAATGTCATTTTCCGACCCCCATTTGACCCCCCCCCCCGGAGCAAAATCAAATTTCCGGATCCTTACTGCACTAAGTACAATGTAACCAGGAGCTTTTTGCATTCAAAATAACATTGTTTTTCGACCCCTATTTACTGTAGATCACTTATTATTCGCGACACCTTATTTTCGCGAGATAGTCATTGACTCTTTCTAGCGAGACAAAATATTCAAGAATTGTAGTCATTGCTCTATATAATCTTAAGAAATTCTATTATTCGCGAGAATGAAATTTTCGCGAGCATACCGTCTCGCATAATTACGCGAAAATAATGTTCTCACGAATGAAAAGAGATTAGCAGTAATTTTTTGGGTGTCATGAATTCATTCCATACCTTATTGAACTATTTCAGGACACAACCAACCATCAGTCAAAAGTGATAAGCTATTGTGAATTAAGTGAGAAGAAATCTAGAATCCCATGACCTTTGCATAAAAATCGTTAATTTCTTTCGATTGATTTATTAATTGTATGTTGTTTTAAGTACCATTCAAGAATATTTTTAATCAAAAACGAAAATATAAGGGTATATTGTTTCACCTCACTCGTGAATTTTTCATTTATATGGAGACGACACCGTATACCGGTAAAAGGTTTCTAATTTTGACCTATGCTCGGCATTCAGGGCCATTGAGCAGTGAAGGACTTTTATCGTGTCAGCGCCTACCGGGACACGGGACCTACGTTTTTAAGGTCATATCCAAAAGACCCGTGACTTTCACTTCTAGATCCGAACGCTTGGAGAAAGAACATTCACTACCTATGATTACGTCTTAGGTAAGACGCGGCGCCGCGAAAGAGAATCGAACCCGGGCCTCTCGATCACGAAGCGAACGCTCTTCCACTAGGCTACTGTGACCGGTATTTAACGGTGTTAATATTAATTTAGTTATCATAGGTTTATAGCAGTGTTGTGACAGCAATATTTTTTATACTTATGTTTTAAGAGTTGAAATAAATCGAGAGGCGTGCAATATTTCCTAGGTACTTTTATTCGCATTGTAGCATTTGTGATCATTCATTGCAATTTTATCTGCCAATAGAGCTACAATATGCAGATACAGCTATTGTGTAACATGAGAAAATAAAATTTGAATTGTTAGAGAGAGAGAGAGAGAGAGAGAGAGAGAGAGAGAGAGAGAGAGAGAGAGAGAGAGAGAGAGAGAGAGAGAGAAAGAGAGAGAGAGCTCCTTAGCTTGTAATATTAACAAGTATACAGAACATTTTGTAAATTTGACATTTGTTGACTGCCAAGATATTTATCTTTTGGCAAAATATACGTATATTGAAAATTAGGAGATAAGAGAATCACATGTATCATTTTATCTTAAGTGTCTGATGCTTGAAATCCTAAGAAAAAACAACAAGGAATAAAAGGATGAGATTAAGAGCGGTACAAAAAACAAAAAACAAACAAAAAAAAAAAACAAAAAACAAAAAAAAAAAAAAAAAAAAATTAAATAAGTAAATTCCAAATCTGATAATGTGTATAACTGCCACTCAATATATGAGAGAAGCAAAAAATGGAATGGATGATGTTAACGAGGGGAGAAAAAATAATTTAGTATATAGGCTACATTATGTACTAGGTGAAATGTAACAGGAATTCTGGGAACCAGTATGATATGGTGTTTTAAAAATTGTTATTTTCAACCCCCACTTCACCCCTAGGGAGAAAATGAAAATTCAAAAACCTTAGTATACATTTACAAAGACACTACCAGACATACCTCAAAAAATGATAACAAATAGGTTACTGTGTAAAATGTAAGATGAATAACAGGAGCAAGGGGCTTTTGCATAAAAATGGTCATTTTTCCCAATTTAACTCTTAGGATGAAAGTAAGAATACCGTAAAAATTTTGTACATCTACAAGACACACCAGTCAATTAAAAAAAAAAGACGAGGCTATAAGGTGAAAGGCAAAAGGAGTTCAGGGCTTTTCACTTTTTAGGTGACATGAATGCATTCCATACCTTATTGCACCATTTCAGGGCACAACCATTCATCAATCAAAAGAGATAAGCTATTGTGAATATAATGAGAAGAATTCTAGAATCCTCGGACCTTTGCATAAAAATCATCAATTTCTTTCGATTGATTGATTAATTGTATGTTGTTTTAAGCCCCATTCAAGAATATTTTTAGTCAAAAACGAAAATATATAAGGGTATATTGTTAAACCTCCCTCTCGAGAATTTTCACTCATATGGAGACGTTACCGTATGCTGGTGAAAGGTTTCAAATTTTGACCTTTACTCGGCATTCAGGGCCATTGAGCAGTGAAGGACTTTAAACGTGTCAGCGCCTACCGTGACACGGGACCTACGTTTTTAAGGTCATATCCAAAAGATCCGTGACTTTCACTTCTAGTGCTGAGCGCTTTTTGAAGGAACAGTCACTTCCTATGATTACGCCTTAGGTGCCGCGAACGAGAATCGAACCCGGGCCTCCCAATCACGAATCAAACGCTCTACCACCAGGCTACCTTGACCGGTATATTAGGATAT